AGCAAGGAAAATCATTCTCTCCTAGCTGGTAGGTACCTTGCTGATTTAGCTCAGGGTAAGAGTGGAACTTATCCTTGCTAGGAAATGTAAGTAAATTTTAAGGACACTTTCTAATACGACTGGAAGCAATGGGCCAGTTTATTTTAATGGTGTCTGGAAGGATGGAGGAAAGAGAACCATCTCTCAGCTTTAGCTTGAATACTCAGACAACAGTGAGGCAAAGTCAAAAAAGTTGATTTAATAGAACTATTCATTTATCCTTTGTAGAGATAATTCCGGTCAAGTATCTGAACTTGTCAAGCCAGAGCAGAGAGTCCTGTGAAACTAAACCAAATTGAACGTTCATTTGCTGGCATCTTCAGGAATCCTCCAGCACCAGGAGCAGAGAGCACGTCAGTGTTGTTTCTCAACTGCAAGATCTTTGGTCACATTATAGGCTGAGTATGGGCTAAGGAAGGACAAATATTTTCTTTACCTCCAAGAAAAAAAGTATACGTAACAGGGTCCCTTTCTTTGGTTTATATGGTCCCACCAGGGAGGGAGAAAGAAGAAGGATCAAGATATATCAGATGGGGTTTTGGTAGTTTAACAAAACCAGAAACCAGTCCTGAAAGAGCTTTTTACTTCGATCTTCTGGTCTCCAGAATGGCCTTGGCACTTATCAGGTCTTTTGTAGAGTAAAGGTGGCTAGGGAGATGGACAAGGTAAGGGAGCTTCCCCCATCTATACACACACACACACACACACACACACACACACACACACACACACACACACACACCTCTCTCATTATTCTGATCTTAAGCTTACACTTAAGCTTATTCTTGTTGAATAAGAACCTGGCATAGTAGGGTATATTTTGGCTAAAGTATTTGTTCTTCTTTATAGAAATCTTCCTCTGCTACCTCAAAAGTCTAACTTAGACAATCACATACTTCCTGATCCTTGTCAAAGTGATTTAAAAACTATCTAAGATATAACCAAATTCAATAAGACAATAGAGACCTATAGTTTTAAAAGGCACAACCGGATCACAGATTAAAATGCAAAAGGTAAAACTATAAATCTTAGGAAAAAACATAGAAAAATCTTCAAGATCTAGGGCTAGGCAAAGAGTTATAAGGCTTAAAATCAAAAGCATGACCCATGAAAGGAAAATTTGATAAGTGGGATCTTATCAAAATTTAAAACTTTTGCTCTGCAGAAGACCCTGTTAAGTGCCAAGACCATTCAATGGGGGAAGGAAAAGACAGTCTTTTAAATAAATAGTTCATGCGAAAGAATGACGTTATCTTATACCATATATAAAAATCAACTCAAAATGGATCAAAGACCTAAATGAGAAGAGCTGAAACTATAAAACCCTTAGAAGGAAAAATAGGGGAAAACCTCGTGACATTGGAATTGGCAGTGATTTCTTGGCTATTACACCAAACACACAAGCAACAAAAGAAAAAATAGATAAATTGGACTTCATCAAAATTAAAAACTTTTGTGCATCAAAGGATACTATTAACAGACAGAAAAGGCAACTCAGATAATGGAAGAAAGTTTTATAAATCATGTATTTTATAAGGAAATGATATTCAGAATATAGAAAGCATTCCTACAACTCAACAACAAAAAAACAATCCAATTTTAAAATGTGCAAAAGACGTGAATAGACATTTCTCCAAAGAAGATATAAACACATGGTCACAAGTACATAAAACTAAATACACAATACACACACACACACACACACACAGAGAAAAGAGTATTTATAAAACTGGTGAAATCTGAATAAAGTTTAAGGATCATATCAATGTCAATTTCTTGGTTATTGATATTGAACTGTAGTTATGCAGGGTGTTAGCACTGGGGAAACAGAGTGAAGAATATATATCTCTGTGTATTATTTCATACAACTGCATGTGAATTTGCAATTATCTCCAAAAAAAAAAAAAAAGGCATTACCAATGTAAAAATCCTGAAGAAATACCAAATTAGTGCCATTGCAAGTTAATAGGCAAGGGATACAATATGTTTTTTTCAGAATTTGGACATAAGGTTGCCCTATGAGAGTTAAACTAGTACAAACATAACAATTTAGGAAAGTAGCCATTAGCCACTTTAGATGCTTCCAAACAAAATGAAAAAAGCTGTGCATACTGAAAAATAACAAAACAGTAAAATCTCAGGGAGGTAGACCTTCAATATTAAGAAAAAGTTAAGATGTTAATTAATTTTTTGGAACACCACCTGAAGAAAAAAACTATCACTATCTGCACCCTCCTAGAAAAGTGTCTAGAAAAGTGGGAGCCCAGAGAAGAAGTGTTAAGTTGTCCTGAGCCCTGCACCGGAGAGTGGGGACCTCGTTCTAGCACAAGTATTGACCTGCATGGCAGTTATAGTTGGCAGAGCTGCCACTTACAGAACATGGATTTTGTGTGAGGTGCTTTACCTGCATCGTCATCAATCCTCAGTACAACCCAACAAAATAGAAGTTATCTCTGTAATTAAACTAAGGCTTAAGAGGTGAAATAACTTGCCAAACATCACATAGCTAGTGAGTGGCAGAGCTGGGTTTCAGTCCCACGCCTTGCCATGCCATTTCCATCCCACCACACTGCCTACCCCCCCCCAACAGTCTGAAGGACCTTCACTGGATGCAAAAGAAAGTGGAAGAGAGGGGGTATGACAGCTGCCTCTCCTGGGGCGGTGTCCACAGACCCGGTCACTGCCCTCCAGGAAAGGGAATTAGTACTTAAAGCCATTGCAGTTTGATGACATGGTCTTAGAGTTGGCTCATTAACTCTCTTCACTATACCTCCCAGTTCCTAAATTTTGATTTCCCACGTAGACATTCCTCAAAGGGGAGCCAACATATTTGTCCATTTGATAGCTGTGTTTCTCATTGTACATTAATATGTTGGAATTCTGATTTATTCACCAGTTTGTAAAAATGGTTACCATTTCCTGCGGGGCTGATGATTCTGTTACTGTAAAGATATAAAACACTGGACTTGGGTTAACGTCCAAGGTACTACCACCCTCGAGGCCTCAGTCTTCGACGCCTTTCTCCCTCTCTTTGAATTCAACAGTCTTTGTGTGGCAAGATTGGGAAATGGTGTCACAGATTCCAGTAACTTACTCAGGCCCAAAGCTCAGGCTGGGAACTAGACCTCCTCACTTTGTTCCCAGTGTAACCATCTCGGCTGTGCGCATCCTGTTGACTCATCCTATTTCAGTGGCAGATCTACAATAATTGGTTTACGTATCCAATCACCACTCCTATTTTCTGTATTCCCTCTCAATCTTGGCTACTGATGGAATTATTTTTGTTCACATAATTGATTGCTTTATTGTGAACCCACAACTTTTTGGATACAAATGAATAGACACTGACTAGCCATATTGTGTGTGCTTAAAATGTTCACCATTCTTTCACATATTAACTGGAAAGGCATGGAACACTAGTTCATACAGTAGCTTTTATGTACTGCATAAATAGTTGTATTCATTAGACCTCATCTCAGTATTTCTACCACCTGGTATAGTACCTGGCACAAATAAGATGTCAATAATGGTAAATTGGAATGGATTGAATTAGATTTGATGAAATTGATTGAAACTGGCTCTAATGTCTGTCAGCTCCAAGCTTCTGTAATTTATTTAACACCCCTGCCGGATATGTGTTTAGACTGAGACACAAACTTTCAAAGACACGGTGTTAGGTCCAGGTGTCTCTCTCCTGGTCTAAAAGATCTCCCTCATCAGGTAGGCCAGTTGTGGGAGTAAGGCCTCATAAAACCTTGCAGAAAGGACTGGCACACCAGCCTGAAGAGAGCATCATGTTCTCTCTCTCTCTGGTTTCAACACTTGGAAGGTCCAGAGAGTCCCAGCATGTGAAAGCAGATGCCTTGGAGATACTCTGAAATGTGGCAGTGCTGGTTCAAACCCAATAAATGAACTTGTTGCAGTTAATTATATCAGCACCAAGCTCTAACCAAGTAAGCTAACTAGCCAGCCCTGCAGCTAATTATGAAACTCAAAATAATGACCCTTGATATCTCCCTCGAGGTGCCATTTAATCACATTATCATTCTGTTTGTCAGGTCATTAGTGGAGGTCACTAGGGCACTTTATTTTCTGAGAACAGGTGTTTTTTCTCTAGGGACTATGTTGGCATCCATTAAAAAGATTTGCCTGATGGTTTTAGGTAAAGATAAAATGTAATGAGATAATCAATTATTTCTTTCTGTTTGATACCAATAATTTTTATAGACATTTCTGAAGCTTGTAGATTTTACTTCATTTTGTGGGAGAATTTTTTATTCATTCATTTTTGCTTTAAAAATGTGACATCCAAAATGCCTGACATCTGTATTTGTTTCTGGTGTGTTTATTGGAGCTAATTTAAAGTTATACATAATGCATTGCTTTCCAGAGCATTCATTTTTAGAGTCTTCTGAGAGAGCTGCTCAGTAACATGTCATGAGAAAAGTTCAGATTTACAAAGCATTTGGCATTTCCTCCTGCGATGCTAATTTATTTAGTAAACATTTGTTTCTAACACTCTTGTCTGCCAAGCTGCAGACTTAAGTACATGTCAGATCCATAAATTTGTAAATGTTAATAATGATAGCACTAAAAGTAGGTTGGGGTATGCCTTTGGTACCTAGCTCTTCTCCTGGAATCCTATCCCAAACCGTTTTGTCCTTTCTTAAACGTATTGATGCTTATACAAGGATAAATGTTTTTATGATAAATTTTCCATCAGTTCTCAAGTAAGACTCTGCAATACTTAAATTAAGCTAAGGCTAGATAACAATTATCCACGTTAACTCCTTAAGGGATTTTTCACATGAGTAGGTGGCAGTAATGATACTGATTTGAATCATGGTTTCATAAAATATATATATATATATATATTTTTTTTTCAGTTAGACCAAATTTCCATCTTGAGAGAGTGAGGTAAATTTTGCCTTAGTTATTAATACCTGCTCGTTTTCTTTCAGTGGTACAGACATGGATGGGAAAAAATGCAGCGTATGGATGTTTCTACCTCTTGTATTTACTTTGTTTACTTCAGCTGGATTGTGGATAGTGTGAGTATTTTCTTATTTAATTATTTAAGATTTAGGTGCAACGTAGATAAAATGGGAAGTTTTGATAGTATATGCCATATCTATGTGACTGTATTTATAAATGCTTTTAAATAATATATTTACTAATTTAACCTTGCTAAAGTTGCTGTTTCTTTTCCCATCTTCTATTAAGTAACAAGAGTGAGTGATAAATTATGCAAAGCAGGTAGTGAAAAATACTGGTTTTATTATGTGTTTGTATGTTCTTCTTGTAAACTGGTGATAGGAATAACCGGTTTTGTAAGCTTTTCTAATTTTACACTAACATACTATGAATTCCATTCACAGTTCAGTTCATAGTTCAATTATTTGTGACTGGGTCTGATATGTTTATAAAATGGATATCATTACATTGGAAGTCTTGGCTTACCATAAAATGTTCCCATACTTGCCTATTTAAAGTAATATTCACATATTTTAGTTCCTTGAAGTTTATTAAGAAAGGTGGACACATATTCCTGAGAAATTAGAAACTTTGAATTCAAATTTTAGTTTGCTCGAAGTTGAAGGCCTATTTTTTTGTTTTCCAGTTTCAGGATTATAATCACTGCCATTAATTTGTGGGGAGTATTGAAAATTAATGGGCCGGCCCGGTGTCACACTCGGGAGCTCAGTGGCGCTTCCCGCCGAGGGTTCAGATCCCATATAGAGACCAGTCCGCTCACTGGTTGAGCGCGGTGCGGGCACGACACCGAGGGTTGCGATCCCGTTACCGGTCACGAAAAAAGACAAAAAAAAAAAGGAAGAAAATTAAGGAAATATTGTTAATAATGACATTTAAACTTCAAAGAACTAAGTGATCTCTAGGTAAAGAATTGTAGTAAAAGAGCATTTTCTCGGTTATAAAAAAATGAATATGATTTAGTGTGATTAGTCTAATAAAACTGGGAAACAAATGATTGGTGTCTTTTTAAAAATTTCTTTGTTTTATAAACTTATTGTTCTTTCTTGATAGATACTTTATAGCTGTGGAAGATGACAAAATTTTACCATTAAATTCAGCTGAAAGGTAAAGTTTATCTCTGGGTAATTCATTTTTCATCAATGGATTTAGCAAAAACGTTGCCACTGGCAAGGTTAAACTGCACAAATGACCACCCTTTAACCTGACCTTCTATGTTTTTTGTTATCCAGGAAACCTGGTGGGAAGCGTGCACCGTATATAAGGTAACTCAGTAATTCTCTTTTGATGTGTTGGCTCTTAAGAAAAGTTGGATGGGTTATAGACTTTAATATAGTAATGATAAAAACCCACAGGCTCTTTGTCGTCTGTGGGTTGCAAATATCTTCTCCCAGTCTGGGTTTCTGTTCCCATTCTTTGAAGGCTACGTTTTGATAAGCAGAAGTTCTTCTTCGATGTAGTCATTTTATCAATATTTTCTTTTATGGGCTGGCCTGGTGGCGCACTGGAGAGTGCGCCGCTTGGGAGCGCGGCGGCGCTCCCGCTGAGGGTTTGGATCCCATGTGGAGACCGGTTCCCGCTCACTGGCTGAGCGCAGTGCGGGCACAACACCGAGGGTTGCGATCCCGTTGCTGGTCCCCGGTACGGGTGCGACACCAAGGGTTGCGATCCCGTTACCGGTCAGTAAAAAAGACAAAAAAAAAGGAAAAAAAAAAAAAACTTTTCATCTTTTTCAAGTATTGCAGGTAATGATCCTCCTGCAAGCTGTGTGTTTAGCCAAGTTATGAACATGGCAGCATTCCTAGGTAAGAAGAGCATAAGAATGCTTTATGTGCTTTGGTGCATTTCTTTTTTATTTTAAATTCTCCCAAATCCATAGCCAAACAATGGTGGGTTTAGTTGATAATTTAGTATCATATCATGTTAATATACTGAAGCCAGCTTTTGGTTTTAAGGATCTTTTTTTATAATACATCCTTTTACATTCACCCTGCTTTCCTTGTATTTTCTCTTCCTTTTACCATCTTTATCATCTCTGTGTACTCTTGACTTTAGTATTTCTTTTGTTACATGAAATAATATATTTCATGTGTCATAAAATCCTGCATGAGAATGCAATATTGTGCAATATGTTTGCTTTGAAAAGAATGCCTTATCTATTCCTTCACTAGCAGAGACGGAAAAAATGTACAGGCTTTGTGGTAAATATTGATTGATGTATGCAGATATTGTCTTTAAACCTCAGGGTCAATGTTAATCTTAGGATGATGTTCTCCCCTGTGCCTATACACATATCAAGTTGGCAAATGGAAAAGTAGGTTTAGAAAGAAAAAAAGAGAAAGAAATCTTTGGTACAGTTATCTGGCCCCAATTCCTCCCTTTTTGTCCAGGGCTCATGACCCTCATTTAATACCCTGTCCCCCTTGTTATATGAGGGCTTCCATGACCTTGTTAGTTCTCCAGAGATTGTGGGAACCAGCCATGCTCTCTATCCTTTTTCAAATCCACCTTGTATCCCATCTCCTTGAGGCCAGGCTTTCCCAGTGTCTTTCAAAGGATCAGCTAGCTGTCATTGTCGGCATGCTGCTGGGAAAGGACCAGTGACAGTCCAACCTTTTCACCATGGTTTTCTGGAAATGGTTCCTTTGGATGGTGAGACTGTCACTCCAAGTAAGAGATAATGTTATTACTGAGGGAGTATTTGTCCTTTGTGGTACCTGTCCCCCAAAGAGGTGACCTGTTATTTCATCTATGTATAACCCCCCCCAAAAAATTCCTACTCACTCATAATGTGTTTTTCTTTAATGTGTGCTATAGGAGAGGGGAGATCTATAGAACTCTCTGGAAAATCAAGGGAGATGGTTGGTCCAACAGGAAACAGAGGCAGAATCTTAGTTATTTCAGAAAGTTCAGAGCATGAAAAACATTCTGTGAAGAACATTCTCTGTGAAGAACATTCTCTGTGAGGCCCAAAAAGCCTCTCTTGAACCTGTGAGGTTCAAACAGAAGCACACTGAGGGGCTTCTCTGCAGTTAACAAGATCCTTCCCTGGAGCTTTCTGTATTTTGGTCAAAGCCTTTCCCTCCCAGGCATCCCCAAAGCATATCGCATTCACCTGAGCAGGAAGTGTCTGGAAGGCATGGACTGCTACACTACCACTAAGGAGAAGGTGAAATGTATCCTGGTGCTGGGGTTGCTGAATCTTTAAAGGGACTCTTCTTTTCATGCCCTTGGCAATCAGGATATTCATATCCCAGATATTCACAAGATGGCACTTGTAGCAGTTAGGGCACATGTGGGCACCAGGGCCAGTCCTAGCTGGTCAAGTTTGGTCATCACTGCCTTCAGCCTCAGCACTGTCAAGAGCTTTATACTCTTGATGTTGCTCTTCTGAAAAGATCTAATAAACTTATTCATACCAAGGCATAAATGGCTGCTAAGGAATACCTGCATTTAACAGAGCATGAAGCCCACAGAGTGAACCTTGAATTGCAGGGTCAGGGGCCTTTCTGCAACCAGAGTGCATGGGTCTGCAGGTTGGCACCTGGTGGTATGATCATCTCACAGGGCGCAATAACAATAATTAATAGTCATCATTTATATTCTAGACACATATGAAGTGCTTTGCAAATACTCCCTCATTTAATCACAATACACAGGAGTCTGCCTTTATAAAAAAAAGAAAGCTGGGCCAGCTCCGTGGCGCACTCGTGCGGTGCTGGGAGCGCAGCGACGCTCCCGCCGCGGGTTCCACGGGTTTGGATCCTATATAGGAATGGCCGTGTGCTCACTGGCTGAGCGCGGTGCTGGCGACACCACACCAAGGGTTGTGATCCCCTTACCGGTCACGAAAAAGACAAAAAATAAAATAAAATAAAAAGCTATCACAGCTGTCTGTCCTCCACTGGACTTTAAAGAAACCAATGAACAAGTTGGAAGCCACGTATTGTTTCCTTCATATTCTTAAGAAAAATTGGTATTTCCCAATAGTCTTTAGTGTATAATCTCAAAAATACCAATTTGCACAGCTCACAAGTTTATCTAGTTCTAAAGCTCATGATTAACTAATTAAAAAAGCATTTCCAAAAACAAAGCAATGAAAACAAGTTCTCCTCTTCCAGATGACACGTGTCATCCTATTCTCCAGTCCTTCCTGCTCCACCAAGAAACAATTAAGCTTTTACTAGCTCTTGCTCTAAGGTATTGCAACATCCAGTGTTTAGTCTTTATTATCTTTCATCATTTTTAGTGCCACCTGGTAAACAAAACTGATTAAGATTAGCGTTCAAGGGGAGCAAACCAACAATTATTTATTTATCAACTCTGGGAGTGAAAAGAATCAATTTCCTAAAGATTCTTGCTCTAAACTGGGGATGCTTTCAGCTTCCCAGATCTGGCCCTGTTAGCCCTCACACTATTACTTTAGACTACATAACTGACTTTAAGAAAACCCACACTGCCTATAAGTCACTGCTTCTTGGCAGCGGTATAGATTATAATTTGTGATCTAAAAATGAGTCAGTGTAGCATTTATTAAAATTAGTTAGCAAAGATCTTTTATCTTTTTGACAGTTTAATCAAAGATTGAATGCTCAATTATTTTCTTTACAGAATTGGTTATGCTCTTTGTCCTGAATCTACACTTTTATCTCCACTGTGGGGAAGAAAGACCTAAGACAAATTTCTTGAAAGGAATATTACTTCTTGCCCTGGGGAGGTTGTGAGGATAAAGCTAATGGCTGAGTGATTTCAGTCACCTAATAGCAGCTGCTCTCTCTCCTTCAGCCAAAACATATTGACTGTCAAGTTCTACCGCAGTCATAAATAGGAATTATTGATGCATAAACAGTAAAACTAAACAGAACAAGAAAGAATTTGGCCAGGCACCAGTTTAGAACTGCAATGAAGAGATGTTATTTTGAATTTCAAACTTTTAAAAACACAATCAGCCTCAAAATAACAAATTTAATTTAAAAATCAGTAATTATCCTATTTGTGCTCTTTTAAAGAAGATTAGGAAAATTAGATAGGGGACACCTGTATAGCAAAGGACTGTTCTAAATACCAAAAACAATAGAAGGGTGAGTCTAAAAAATCTTTTCTAAAACTATTAGTATAATTTAAAATTTTTAATGAAACTAAAAATATGTATCTATTGACAAGAATGTGAAAGTGGTAAAAGTTGGTTAGCATAAATAAAGATGGCTTTGGGAGGAGGGAGGGAGGTGTCGGTGATGGGCCATAATAATTATATACATTGTATATTGACAAAATAAAAATTTAATGAAAAAATAAATAAATAAATAAATCTTTAAAAAAATAAAAAATAAAAAAATAAAGATGGCTTTGGGAGGAGGGAGGGAGGTGGCGGTGATGGGCCATAATAATTATATACATTGTATATTGACAAAATAAAAATTTAATGAAAAAATAAATAAATAAATAAATCTTTAAAAAAATAAAAAATAAAAAAATAAAGATGGCTTTGAAATTGCCCTACTGCCCTGAAGTCTTTTTCAAGAAGGTATAATTAAATCACTAGCTGGTTGAAAATGGACTTTATAACAGATAGACTGAATCTGCCTCCATTCAAACCTAAGTGGTAATAAAACTGTTATAGTGCCAGAATTTTTATTAGTTTCACTATTCTAAAAATTTAGTTAGACTGTCTTAAAAGGAAAGTGTGCTTTGTCTGAGCTGATTAATAATGGAGTTAACAGGGGGAAAGGTCCAGGTGTGTGGTGTTGGGAATGCATTGGGTTGAATTCTTGCCTTTGAATAGGTTTCTGTTTCCTGCTTAATTTCATCATCTGTTCATGATAAAATGATTTATATCATCCGTATTACAAATAGGAAGGCTAGCAATGCTGGGAGCAGGAGAAGATATATGTCCCATGTTTACTGGTGAATAATAACGCAAAAGAATGGCTATCATCTCTCCTTCCCTGGGCATAAAGGAGCAAACTGTCTGACGGGGTGGGTCGACACAAGGAGCCACTTCAGGGACTGGGCTCAGGGCTAAGGGCAAAGTTCCAGCACAGTTCTATCCCACGAAACTAAATGACCATCAGAGAGTTCCCAGAGTAATACTTATCACTAGTCATTTTTAAAAGAAATTAAATGTGCTGTCTTTGTCATTATGCCCTGACTAACTAGCCATACACAATTAATTAGCAAGTGTACCTACCCCATGGCGCCCTAGTGTTGAGACCTCTAGTCTCAATCTGATGGCTTTTTAATCTGATGATCATCACTTTGTGTCAGAGTGCTGTATGTTGAATTATTCCTCTTCCCATTTCCTCCTCCTATTCCCATCCTAACAATTAGTAAGATGTTGTGCTTATTTTTCATCCTGCAGCATAGTTATTGTCATTATTAATAGACTTCTGATGTGAGTCCTAACTAGGTCCCTTAAACCAATAGGTTGGATGATCAGCTCAAGTATAATTTATCAGTTTTCTGATTAATAGTAGGCACTAGCTGAAACATATACTAAAAGCTGTAACAAATAAATAATTTGAGGTTATACAAATCATGGTTTATGTTTTGTTTCTAAAATCCAAATATTAGTTAAGTTTTATACCACTTTTTGATCAGAGGTATTTGGAACTAAAAGTCAACTCACTGAGCTTATAACTGCATAGCTTGACTCTATGTAATTCAGCATACTTAGGAAATGCAAATTTATGGATGGGTTTTCTTTATTAATGGCAACTAATAATGGCCTGTAATCAAGGTAAAACCTTTAGCAAAAAATTATCAACTTAATTGCTGTTTAAATGGGGGTAATCTTGAATTTCTAATTGTCTTCTCTGCTGAAACTTAATGTCAAAATAAATTGTCTTAGGAAGTAGTAAGTGCATTTTCTTATATGTGGATGTAATTTATATTCATCACAAGGTGCATTTTCATCATTTGTAGACTAACCTCTCTCTGCTTTTTGTATAAATATGAAAATATCTCTGCACTAAGGAATTAATAAAAGGTGATTCTTAGATTACTGTGGCTTAAGTATGGATCACCCCCAAGATTACTATTAAAAGTCAGGTTTGAAATCTGAACAGCTTCCCTCATTCTTTCTTTCAATTCTCAGATAACAATTTGCTTCAAAAGATAGAGTGGCCTTTTAACATGAGTAATTAATATAATTTACAAGAATTGAGTTTTCTTGATATGATAGGTATGATTTTTAGAACATAACAACCCCCCAAATCTGCTATATTAAAATACAGACTTTATAAATTTGATTACTGTAACTGCTCTAATTTGGATTGACTCTCTTTGTCTTCTGACAATGAGCACCTACAGGTGGAATTAAAGGGAAGTGAGAGTAAAACCAGAAATAAAGGGATTTGTACACTTTCCTTTATGTTCCTTCCTATCCCCAGGAATGGTTTCTGGCACAGGGACTGGCAGGTTTGTGGTAACCTTGTCTTCCCCATGTTTTCCTGCCCCTACTGTTCTAACACTGTTCTAAGCTGAAGGATGATTGAATCAGTGAATTCCTGTGCCGTGTCTGTCTGTATCCCCATCTTATATGTTGCGTGCTGAGCCTCTGCAGTGTTCTCCTAAGCTAGTCTGTCCATGCTGACCTTGTTTTTGAAAACTCTAAGAACACTATTAACAGCCCTATCATCTTTGCATCATCCAAATAACTTATAGCACTGCTGCTTTGAGTCCTCTCTGCCTCTCTGCTTCCCCCAGGTTAGGTATAATAACACATCTAAATAATCATAAGCATCACATGGAAAGTTTCTTTGAAAAATTGTCTGTCATTTCAGAGATTTAAAATGTACTGTGGCGAAAAGTTTAATTTTGCACATGGTGGCTTCAGAATGCTGCCTCATACTCTAGTTTATGATGTAAATTTTTTAATTTTAAGATTTTGCTTTATTCCTAGCCCTCGTGGTAGCTGTTCTGCGCTTCATACAACTGAAACCAAAGGTTTTAAATCCGTGGCTGAATATTAGTGGATTGGTGGCGCTGTGTTTGGCTTCCTTTGGAATGACCTTACTTGGTAATTTCCAGGTACTTCATTTGGCCTTTTCCACCTCCCTGTCACACCGGAAAGGCTTTCACCTGTGTGATTATCATACGCACTGAGGTATAGTCACTATATGACCGATATAATTCTGCAGAAACCCTAAAAAAAAAAATTAAGAACACTGGTTCCTAATATGCCCAGGTTCTCCAGCAGTCAGCCCTTGTGTTCTCTCAGCCTGGGCTGAGTTCTGCTTACACATGTGAGGGTACATATGAAATACAGCATGGCTGTTAGGGAAAGTAGCTACTAGAATAGCTATATATTTTCTACAAAGGATCTCAAAGTGGTTTATATTTCATAACAAATTGTATAATGTACCTTTCTTGAAAGCAAATAGGATCATTGCCTTTCTATAATTAAACACCAAACATCCTTATTGGATGAAAACTTGCATTTCACATTAGCAAGTTCATGTGGAAGTCAAGTTTGAAAACCAAGAATTTCTCTAGAATATATGACTGGTATAAAGACCCTAACTCTTCTTCCCTAATCCTAACTTTTCTTCCTAGAAATTTAGAAGCCCACGGTCACAACCTGTAAGAATAATTTCCCTTGCCAATATCATCACCCAACTCTTGACATGAATGACTTCATTTGTAATATAGACAAGGAGACCATTGCACTTTGACAGTAGTTGACTGGTTTTCCTGCCTCCGTTCCCTCCCCACTATCCTCCAACCTATCCTAGATATACTGCTGCTAGAAGCTTCCTCCTTGTGAGCAAACACTGATCCTGACACTCCTCCCATTTCATTGTCTGTTGAATGAAATCCAAATGGCAAGGCATTCAAGACCCTCAGCATTCTAGTGAGCATTTAGTAATGTTCTTACTGAAAGTATGGCAGTGCATTTTCTAAGACTATCTCTTGTCCTAACCCTCAGTCCTGATAATTCATATAACTAGGGTCATACATTCCCCTAAGACATCCCCTGGTACACAGTAGCAACTTGGTAAGTATTTTTTGCTTGATGAGTTGTTTGGCAGATAGGCTCTTCCACCAATTCCTCTAACCATTCTAGGTCCCATCTATATCAAGCTAGACAACCAGAAAGCTGCATTCTTAGAACATATTGGATAGGACAATGAATTACCAGGAGACTATTTGAGAGTTTATACTGTTAAGCTCCAAAATGTTAGGGCACGGGGCATTTTTTAATTGAAATTTTGGTGGGACTCTATCTCCCACTTGTGGGCCTGTGCTGCTGGTGCAGGCATGTTGGTAAAGTACTCAATAACTATCGTTTCTCTCAACCAGGGCTTTGATGAGTTACTAAGTACACATTTTGTTCTTTACTTAAGTCCTAGAAGAATCCTAGAGATTGGCTTCTTTTGGTGAACCACAAATATTCATATGACACTACGTATGAAGAACATTTGCTGGAATATCTCCAGAGGATACACAGGAAACAAAAACCAGATTGGTTGCCTGTGGGGAAACCAGGCGGCTAGCATATGGAATGGGAGACAGACTTTTCAGTCTAGACCCTTTTTATAATTTTTAAAAGTTTGAACCATATAACTATATTATATATTTTAAAAATCAGGTAAAATTAGTAAAGGGACACAAAAATCAACTACATTGTACATTGATAAATTAAAAACAAAATAAAATAAAATTTTTTAAGTGAAAAAAATCTTCAAATTTCCATACTTAACTTCATACTTCAAATTCCCTTACTTAACTTTTTTAGAAATCTGAAATAAATGTTTCACAGAGCAATGATCACATGAAAATAAATATATAAATAAAACTAAAAATTAGGTTAAAAAAATAAAAATAATAAATGAATACACTGTATACAGCATTGAAAACCAATTTCCTAGAAGTAAAATTTGATTTGAGGAATTATTATTTTAAATACATTCTGAAAATATGTCTTTTGAACTGTGAGGGGGAAAGAAGCTTCTTCCAAAAGAGAGGAAAAAATCCTACAGCTAAAGACAATAGAAAAAAATTGTAAAGGAAAAGTAATATTGATTTGGTGCCACCATTATTCACTACAATATCAAACAACAAAACATCTGAAAGCAATGGCAATTCAAAAAAATATTTTAAAAGCCATCTCTTCAACAGTAGATTTTATTTTCCTTTATGTGCAATTAAAAATGTATGTAATTACAAAAGGAAAATAAAATAAAATAATGAAATGCAATAAAATAAATATATATATATAATTACAAAAGGACTTTTAAGTGATAGATATGTTTCTAAATATCAACGGGTAATGATTTGGTTACATTTACCCACGTTACATTTCTAACCTCCCAAATGAAATAACCCAAATGGGTCACCTTTAACCTATTAACTCTTATAAAAAGCCTTACCTATGAATCTTCAAATTCTGTTGTCCTTTAGTGGGTCTCCAGATATGGCAAAAGCTCATAGGTGGCAATTTTTCTTATGGCATAGGAAAAGAAACCCCAAAACAACAACAAAAATCCCATTAACAATGAATTGGCCACACTACACAAACAGGCCAGTTTTGTGAAATAAAGAACGGCCCAGGGGGTGTTAGTTGTCTATGCCAATTAAATCTTGACCTGCCTAGAATTGGCCATCCTTAGTTGGTAAATACCCAGCCAGATTCCCCAGTCTCATTTTCTTAGCCTGGAAAACAAAGTTTAGTGTACATGCTTATAGAAACTTTGACATTTCCCTTTTTTGTGTAACTCTCCTGCTTTTCTCTTTTGCTTTCCCATAAAGCTGTTCTGGAAAACAAATTCAAGGAATAGATGATCACTGCCTGCATGTTTTTTCTAACAAGTGTTTTAAGGTTTGGGGGTATTATTTTTTATTTCTCTTCTTCCCCTTAGAGTTGATATATGAGAATAGACTTAATAAAGAGCCAGTGGACATGAAGGACTCATCACCACATTAGTGGGATATCTCTTTTTCTATCATTCCCCCCTCACATATTCCATCAGCTTTCATGTCTTCTTTTCTAAATGGGCCTCCACATGTCAGTATCTGTTCATTCCTTAGCTCACGAATGATGAAGAAATCCATAATGTTGGAACTTCCTTGACCTTTGGATTTGGCACATTGACCTGCTGGATCCAGGCTGCATTGACACTCAAAGTCAACATCAAGAATGAAGGACAGAAAGTTGGAATTCCACGAGTTATTCTGTCAGCATCTATCACTCTCTGTGTGGTCCTCTGTATCCTTTGAATTGAAAAGCTCCTTTGCCAATGAGATTAAAACACAGATAAGTTGTCTTAAGTAGATGAGACAGTTGTCATTCCCAGTGGGTTAGGATATACTGTCAGATCATCTCAGAATCTTAAGACAAAACAGAACAGTAAATGGGTGTAAAAATTAAAACTCTCAGACCAATTTTTCATGCCAACGAGGAGATAAGAGAACTAAAATCAAAACAAGCTCTGCCTTCTCAAGATTGAATCTGTAGGAATGGTGTCATGTATTCATATCACTCATGACATAAAAGTTTCCCTTTGTGAAAAACATAAAATGCATAACCAAAGAGAATTGTGATTTTTTTCCTCCATCTTAAAAAAAAATTTCTTTTATGACTTTATTAATGGCCCTTTTATTTCATTTAATTAGCCCTAAAATGAATTTCAAGGGACAAATACATTTATATCTTTCAGGAAAATAACTAAGCTTTTCTAGAAAACAAGTCCAAGAACTTGATAACTGCTGCATGTGTAGTTTTCCTAAAGAAATATATGAGGTTTTGGGGTGCTATTCGTTTCCCTTCCTTCCCTCAGAGTTTGAACCAATTGAGAACAGGTACAAGGAGCCAGATGGGGATAAAGAAATCAGCCTTTATTCTTAGTAAACTTGGAAAGGAGAATGCTGCAGGCCTCGTCTCTCACACCCGGGAATTCAACTTATCCACCCAGTAACAAGCAGTGAAGCCAGGGAAAGGTAGAGAGCGCCTCACTCTGCTTAACCCCAAACAGATAGGATGGAGCACAGTGATCCCACCTATTGTGGCGTGGTCCAGTAGAAACCTGCCAATTCCAGTCCCACTAATCAGATCAGTTCCTCATGGGGGGTGGAAGGGTGGAGTAATCAGAAGGGTTCACTCCAGTAGGTCCTCTTCTTCAGGAAACTGGAGAAGAAGGGATTCAAGGTCCCTAAATGATAGACTATATACCTAACACAATTACGCATCTTCAATCATAGTAATCGCCAATATTTATTGGGCACTTACAATGTGCTAGGCATTATTCTAAGCATTTTAAATCCATCAAGTCTTTTAATCCTCACTTAACAGGTAAGAATAGTGAATCGTAAAGGTTAATTTGCCCAAAGTCACACAAATAGTACCTGGTGGATCAAGATTTTAACCTGGCCTCATCTTTTGCACTCAACCACTACACCATCCCACCTTACGGAAAGTGGCTTTGGAATATGGAAACATTTAGCATTCAGAGACATTCTTTGGTTAGTGGAGTCTTTTATTTCTTCTTCCCTCACAAACTGCCATATCATTTTATTACTGGAGGAGAGGGTCTGGCGAAGTCGTATAGCCGACCTCAACCCACTCCATTCTCTATCAGGTTCTTGACTCCACCACAGGAAAGAATTCAAGAGTAGAGCTAGAGTGGAAAGCGGAAACAGGTTTAGTGTAAAGAATAAGAAATACACACTTGACAGGGAAAATGTGGGCTGGCTCCAGAGAGAGTGAGCAGCAGCCCCACGTTCTTCCTGGATTCTACCTTTTTAGTTGGCTATTTACACATATTCATGCTATCTAATGAATATTCAATTAAGAAGGGGGGTCCCAGTTATGTAAAAGGTTATGTAACATAACGTTGCATATGCTCACTTTGTATCTTTGGAGCGTGTTCATTGGTCAAATTCCAACATACGCACTGAAAATTACTTAAAATATATTTGGTGCTCTCTAGCACCCTAGTGGAGGGTTATTCAAGGATAAAGTCCTTTCTACTGAGCATGCTCAGCCACTGGAATTACATAAGTCTGCCTCCTTCAATCTCAATCTACCTGTGTTGGTGCCGGAAAATAGGTATAACAAACAACAGTAGCTCAGGACTCAGAGGAGGGGCTTGAGTCCTAGGGGAGTAATTTGAAACCCAGGGGGGCAGCCTGAAACCCAAACCCAGGGAAACTAAGCACCTCCTATTTCAATTTTACTGGTTTTCTGAAGCTCTACAGTTACATTAGATAGACAAAATATAAGTACATAAAGTTCAAGCCAAAATGACTTCTTGCTAGCAACCCTATAAAATACTTTACAATCAAAAAGATGAAAACTCTGCCAATATGAGATTTGAGGATGTATGCCTTCTCCATTAACTTAATAAGTTAATATTGTTTTGGCAATATTTTGAACCCTCAGAAGAGTGTGCACAGACCTTAAATAATTCTGAGTTTTAAGCTTTCACCAAATGAGCCATCTTGTTTCTGTACACTTGAAACCATTTCTTGGTTCCCAGGTGAATGGATCCAGGTCTAGTCAGGAGAGCAAAGTTTGGCTGAAGTAGTTTCACATACTCTTGCACTCTGAAAATTTCCCAAGATTTTAGGTCTAAGTTCTGAATATAGATCTAATTCTAAGAGGACATTTCTGATTTTTCTAAATAAATGTGTCTAGTCTTCAGCCTCTTGGCCTTTTACTAACCATGCTAAGAACGTTTCACCTTTCCTCTTCCCAGCTCCTACCTCCATCTATGCTGTTATATGTATATACATATACACCACACATACACTCCATATATATTCAGGAATAAGAGTCTCATCTGTTTCTTTATAGTTTAATTGCATATTTTCATTTGAACATAAGTTTAAATGTGCTGCAGGAATGAAACTAGCCTATACAGTATTGTCTGAAAGACCATAGTGAAAATTAGAAGGGGAAGAGGGGCCACTCAGACATTATTAGTAGCACTACAGAACCAAACACAGCTTATATGGAGGTAGTTAGCAATTTGCTATGCTAAAAATTAGTTCTGCAGATACAATGGTAACTATGAATCCAGTCATTTCCAATGATTTTTTTGAAAGATACCTTTATTTTTCTGGCCAACTAATTATTTTGGAGTTATAATCCTCTTGCTAGTCTTTATTAGGCAGCTGGAGAGTATAATGGTTAAATGCATAGCCTGGGAGTCAGAGTACTTGTTTGAATCCCAGATATACCAACTAAAACATCAGGCAAGTTACTTAACCACTTGGCCTCAGTTTCCGTATTTTTAAACGAGCTGACAATAATAGGATTATTGTAAGGATTAAGTGGGATTATCTGTGAGACCACCTAAAAGCATGTCTAGTACAGTCAGAGCTCAATAATGTTAACTATTATTATTCATGTAGATTTTTGTGTTCAGCAAGCTCTATCAAGCTACCAGTTTTCCTAATGAGGGGAAGAGCCAGACTTTTTCCTGTAACTTGTCCCTGCCCAGGAGAGTCCAGTTTTAATGTGGCCGATGAAGATACTTTCCTTGACCGCTTCTCCCAGACTTCATCCTCATGGCCCAAGGCATCCACATGTATGCAGCCAGGGTCCAGTGGGGCCTGGTCATGTGCTTCCTATCTTACTTTGGCACCTTTGCAGTGGAGTTCCGGCATTACCGCTATGAGATTGTTTGTTCTGAGTACCAGGAGAATTTCCTAAGCTTCTCAGAAAGCCTATCAGAAGCTTCTGAATATCAAACCGACCAGGTGTAACCCATCCGTTTTTCCTTGCTGGTGAAGTGGGTGTGACAGTGGGGGAGGGGCAACAGGACACACTCACAGGACTTGACACATAACCTTATGACACATTTTACACACGCACACGTTCATGACTCCATTTGCCAAATGAGCTTTTCAGGGCGAGTTATTTCTTTAATGAAAAAGCACAAGCCCTCTGTGTTAAAATACACGCTGTTCCACCGAAAATATATGCACGACAGAGCAAGAAGCTTGTGCATGGTCACCTCTTTTCCCTCCCTCTCCCAGCACTCCCTGCTCTTCTCGTTCTCTTCACGTTTCCAACATCATCATCACCCTGCCATAGAGTAGGGCAGGCCAAGTGGCATGGGAGGAATATCAACTCCCAAAGTTGCCTTCAGGTCCAAAGGGCTTGGAATCAGCTTGGGAGGGAGTTCTGAATCTGGCACTAATGTTCTTGAATGAATAATAAGAGTATTATTTAATTGGATGGAAACAGTAGAGATGTGACCCTGTGTAACCTGTGGAAAGGCATGGACAGAACCTTCCAACAAAAGTTCCCTTCACCATTGTTCGGTGTGGGGCTGTGTGGCTCTAATGAAAGGAATGTGCTACCGACTGGGAGAGTGAAGCACCACTGTGATTTGGACTTGATTCACGGTGACTGAGATTTCCAAATGTGAATATTTGTAGGGACGTGGTCTGCCAGACATGGAACACAGGGGCAGTGAGGGTATGTTTAGTTTTTGTTTCTATAGTATGCCATGTACAGCTTTTGTTTTATATTTCATCGTTTACCTTTTTTAAAAATTTTAAGTAACTACCATGGGTCTTTCTAGGTAGGCCTCATGGGCAAAGAAAATGTAGACCAAATGCAGGAGCTTAGCTTGCTTTGGGTTCAACCGTGATAAAAAGAAAAACAAAAAACAGGTCACCTGCAGGTATATTTTGCTGCTTTTATGCTTGAAGCTGAGAAAATATTCACAGGAAAGTACAAAGAACTATGAATGTGTGGAGGCAATAAAAAGAGCTCCTACTGGACATTTATAAAAGATAGGAGTTTTAGAGCATCTTGCTGCAAGTCCAAATCAGGGCAGACTCTTAGTATGTATTGCTTACATTTTTTTGGATCAAGGGCTTTTCAAACCTGAAATCTGTAAAAGCTAATTAAAAGATTACCCTCCCCCAAAACCAAATTGGCACAGCTGGTCCCCTGCTGCCCACCATGTAGTTCCCAGCTGCTGAGAGTTCGGACTTCCAGCTGTAGGCGCGGGCTTTTGAGGCTGTGCTTCATGAAGAAGAGCAGAATTCCAAATTCAAAATGCGCTGGAGTGGGCCAAGTTGACAGACCCTCCACGAGTGTACTTTGTTTAAAGAAATCTCCAAATTTACTTTATAGGGGCCTAGGATTTCATGGAATATAATGTGAAGAACATTGTTTTTTAAAATTCAGTCCTAAGTCTGAGCTTCTTGAGCAGGAGGAGGTCGATGTCTTTTCACTTTGTATTTATCCCCACCTCCTAGCACAGTGCCTGGCACATATTAGGTGCTCAATAAATGTCTGTTGACTAGAATGATTGATAATTTAAGAGAAGGAAAATGGAGTATCAGAGAGATTCAAAGATGAGAGAGAGAAGAGAAGACAGCTGTTTCATGTGAGACAGGAATGGGAGAAATCATGAATAAGGGTCAGAGGGAGTGAGAGTACCAATAAGGTACCAGTAAAATGTGAGGAAAAGAAGCAGAGTATTCTCCTATTAAAAAGGCATCTTACTGTAAATAGTCGAAGGTGACATTTATTAGTTTTGAATACTGTTTTGGGGTTTCTTTTTTTCATTTTTGTATTTAAAAAATTTTATCAAGGAACAAAGATTTATTAAGTTTTCTTTTATTCTATATAACCCAAATTAAACAGCTTTTGGTGATGCACTCGTATACTTTCTTAAGAGTATATCTAATAGCACATTTTAGCAGAATCAAGCAATGACTGACATTATTCATTGAGATGTGGCCACTAAATAAAATTCTTTTATGCAGAACTGTAATTTCCTTGTTTCTTACACTGACATTTCTTCTCTAATATTGAAGCATGTGTACAGTCTGATGTTATGTTGAAAATGAACTTCAGTGTTACATTGGTAGGGTGTTTTCCAACACCAACAACCAATTCTCTGATTCTCTTGACACCAACTGGGTGTCTACAATTCAGTTTTGACACTAACAACCCAGTGTTTGGATCAGTCTCCACAGGTTTAAGGGCTCAGTTACACAAAACTGCCCTTACTTCAGATGCCAGTTGTAAGTATTGGGTCCAAAGGTTACCCTCGCTTCTGTCTAACTCGGCTACAAAGTCAGGGGTAGGGGGGTAGAGGGCGGTTCTCCACACACCTCCCCTCTTCAGGTTCAATAATTTGCTAAAAACGCTCGCAGAATTCAGTACAACACTTTACTTACATTTGCTGGTTTACTATAAAAGATACAACTCAGGAACAGCCAAATGGAAGAGATGTACAGGGCGAGGAAGGGGAAGGTGCATGGAGCTTCCGTGCCCTCTGAGAGCGCACTGTCCTCCCAGCTCCTTGATGTGTCCATCAGCCTGGAAGCTCTCCAAATCTCATGTTTAAGAGTTTATTTTAGGGCTGGCCTGTGGCTCACTTGGGAAAGTGTGGTACTTAAAACACCAAGGCCACGGGTTCAGATCCCAGGTAGGGATGGCCTGTTTGCTCACTGGGTGAGCGTGGTGCTGACAACACCAAGTCAAGGGTTAAGATCCCCTTACTGGTCATCTTTATTAAAAAAAAAAAAAAAAGTTTATTTTATAGAGCTCGAGCTCCAGCCTCCTTCCCTCCCAGAGGTCAGTGGGTCAGAAGGTCTAATGACTTGGTCTTTCTGGTGACCAGTCCTATCCTAAGGCTACCTAGAGGCCCCCTCTCCAAGTCAACTCTGGCATAAATTAAATATGATCAAAAGGGGCTCACCGGGTATAACAAAAGATAATACTATCACTCAGTAAATTCCAGGGGTTTTAGTTCTGTGCCAGGAACTGGGGACAGAGACAAAATACATTTTTGTACTATACCACAGATTAAATAAAGATCACCATTACAGAACCTCCCAGGAATGAAGAACCACAGCATTCACACAGGAGGCCAAGACCAGGGAATCTGCATTTGGAACAAGCATCCCTAGAGGATCTAATGAAGATCGCCCAAGGAACAAAGTTTGAAATGCAATAAACTACATTTCTGGTAGTCCAACTGAGTCGCTTGATAAAGAAAAGTTCCCCTACTGGTTTGGAGAAAAAATATTTTTAAAACAATGTTAATATGTTAAAGATGTAATGGGTTTTTTGTGTTTTTTTTTTTTTTTAATGGAGAACTAACAGTGAAGTAAAGTTTTATTGCCTGTGTTATTTGCTGGGTTTTCTTTACCCCTGGTATGGGGAAGTAAAACTCATATCCTGAAATTTACAATTTGCTGGTTATAAATGGAGACTGGAACACCACTGTTCATTAACTTTTGTCCTTAGGCATTGTGTCAGGATAGGGTGGTTTTGCTATCCCAAGATAAAACTAGTAAAACTAAAGTTTATTTCTCATACTAGATGTCTATCAAGGGTAAAAGGGTTCTTTCTGCTCATTGTAATAACTCAGACCCTGGCTGATAAAGGCTTCATCTCAATACAGGCTTCCATAGCCAAGAAAATGTGGCAGGCTGCTCCACAGGCTGTTAAGGCTTCTGCCAGGAAGTGATGAACATTACTTATTAGCTTACATTTCATTGGCTAGGGCAAATCATGTGGCTATACCAAGTGTGGCACTCCTACCATGTGCCCAGAATGGGAGAAACATTGTGAACAGCCTAGTGACTCCATGGGATACACAACTTCTTTGGTCATTGTCATTCTTTTCAAGTAGGAGTTCCAAAGAATCATCACAGAGCCCATAGTACAGAAATGGAGGACAGGGACTAACTATGGGGTTGGCACCATTTAACTCTCAGTGCATTTCTTCTTACCTTTTCTAGATCTATAAGCAATTCACAATTTGATCACTCCCCCTTCTAACCGCCCTGCTTAAACCATTTTCTTCACTTGGCTTCCAAAGCATCCTGCCCTTTTAATTTGCCTCCTGCTTCACTGTCCACTCCTCAGTTTCCTTTGCTGGGCCTCCTTCTCTCTGACATCCTAACAGTGGAGCACCACATGGCCCAGTCCCTGGAACTCTTCTTTCCTATCTACATTCATTCTCTTGGTGACCTCATCCAGTATTCTAGCTTTAAATATTGCCAGTTGCCGACTTTTCCCAAGTTCTCCAGCCCAGACTTCTATCCTAAATGCCAGACCTATACAGTCCAAGACCTATATATTCCAAGACCCCAGTGGATGCCTGAAACTGAGGATAGTACTGAACTCTCTATATACTGCTCCTTTCTATACATACACAGGTACTTCCAAAAGTTCACAGAAAGATTTGTATTATCTTTTAATGCCATTTTTTCATGAACTTTTTGTTGTACATACATATGACAAAGTTTAATTTATAAATTAGGCACAGTAAGATATTAACAACACTAACTAATAGTAAAACAATTATAACACCACACTGTAACAAAAATTATGTCGATGTGGTCTTTCTCTCAAAAGTATCTTATTGTACTGTACTCACCTATTTTTGGACTAAGGTTGGCCACCAGCAACTGAAACCACAGAAAGCAAAACCACAGATTAAGGGGATATATATTTAACTACCTTCATGGAATCTCTAGTTTCATACATACGATCTTATCCCTTTCAACTCATTCCTCCCATAGTTTTACCATCTAAGGACAACTCATCTTTCAGTTGCTTAGACTGAAACCTTGAAATAATCCTTATCTCTTCTTTTTCTCTCACATCTCACGTCTGTCAGCAAATCCTGTCTGCTCTACCTTTAAAGTATACTAGAATTCATCCACTGCCACCATCTGGGCCAAGCCACTACCATCTCTCCTGGATTTTTATAATGTCCTATAAAAACGGTCTCTCTGCTTCCATCATTTGCTCCCTTCAGCCTGTCCTCAACACAACAGTCAAACTGGCCTTGTTAAAACCAAAATTAGATCATCATCACTCCTCTGCTTAAAAACCACCAATGGCTTCCTTTGCGGTCAGACTAAAAACCCCAATCCCTAAAATGCCCTACAAGGCCTGACAAGATCTGCATTTATACCCTTCCTTCTCTCTCTGCCAGTCTCTCTGCCTCTTTGTATTCCTCCAACAGCCAGGCATGCTCTGGCCTCAGGGCCTTTGCACTTACTATGACCTCTGCCCTGGACAACCTTCCCCCAGATATTTAAATTTCTCACCTTCTTCACCTACTCCAATGTTACATTCTCACTGAGGCCCCTGACCTCTCTAAAATTAACTCCCCCCAAGGCCACCCCAGTACTATCTATCCCTTTCCAGCTTTATTTTGCTCTATAGCATTTTTTTAATCTTTTCTTTTTTTGATAAGTTTTAAAACATAGTCCCATGATCACTTAAAATTCTAACATGCATAACACTGACACATTTTACTTATTTTGTTATTACCTGATTCTGTCCCTAAAATGCAAACTCCATGAAGGCAAGGATTTTTGTTTGCCATATAACCAGCACCTAGAATGGTGTTGGGTACATGGTTAGGTGCTTAACGGATATTTCTAAAATAAATGAATGGTACTGCCAACAACTCCCCGCCCTGCCGCCGACACACAATTTTTTTATTGTAAAGATTTATTCTGTTAGATATGACCTGTTCAGTGTTCAAGGCAATTAGGAAACAATGCTAATGTGGTCAGATTTCAAAGAATACAACTGTCCTCCTGTTTGTTCTAGCAAACAGCTTTCTGTGTCGTAAGGAGGAAGTTCTAGATTATAAAAGGGGTTATTTCTTATGATGTCTGCTCAACTAGTACATGTTAAATACCCAATTCTAAATAGTACCTGAAATATCTTTATGCAAACTGTGTCAGTTCCTGATTTCCTCTCATGTAGCTTCAGAATAAAATCCTTATCGGATAACTGAGTCCTTATCTGAGGAAAATTTAATATACTTCTGTAATGGAAACGTAACTTTAACACTTGCACAATTTACCAATGCCTGTATGACTTTTAACCTGCACAAATTATTCCTGTAAGCACTTACTAAAAAAGCGGGGAAATATATCTAAAGGTATTTTAAGTGAAGCAGCTTTTTAGAGGTCAAAGCAGAACTAGACACACATTCCAGGGGCCAGCTGGTCTCAAGGACTAAACAGCCCTCTTATCTTCAGGACACCTGGCAGAGCCCAAGTGATTAAAAAAAATTAAACAGTCCCTTATCGGGGGGGCTAGCCTGTTAAGCTTGACCATGAAAAAAGTCTTTGTCCAAAGAAAGTGTATAAAAACTCTCATGTCAAGGAGCTAGGGGCCGCTTTTCTGAAAGACAAAGCGACCCAGCATGCTGAAGTAAAACTCCTCTTGCTTAAATTGCAGTGATCTCTTGTCTCGTGGTCTCTGTGAGGCGAGTCACTCCGATGTGTAGGATTTGTGCTTGGTGCACG